AGAGACTGCAGGGAAGCGTAGCCGGAGATGAAGTCAGCCTTAGGAACAGCTGACTGGCAGTTCCACAGGCCACCTGTAACTAGATGTTGGATCGCAGTGGAGCACGTGGGATAGACGAGAGCAGGCCGGTTATATCGATTAGGAGATACACGGGGCCAGTGATAATTGCGAGAAGACACATGAACAGGAATGGAGAAAATACACATGATTATAGCATGAGGGGCTAAAAAACACCAGCGATACTTAGCTCAATCAAAGTAGGATTTGCCTCCCGCAGGACTCTAATGTGTTTGTCTGTCTTTGTCAGTCTGACGCTCCAGGAAAGAGCTGCCTAAAATGGAAGCTTGTCCTGAATGCTGAGTTGTCACAGCTGTGGGCCTACTCCCCTTTAATTAGTTAACTCTCTGCAGCTGATGGGCGACAGCCGTGTCTTCCAGTCTATTGTAATGCACAATTTGAGACAAGTATCCCACTGAGCCCTGCGTAACAGGTTATTTTAGCTGATCTGAGATTTCAAAAGCACAATTTTAGCTAGAAAAACTACAGAACAATTATACAGAGTAGAATAAATGAAACAGAGAGGTCTATTTAAACAAAAATATAACTTACAGAGATTACTGAGTCAGCAGGAGCGTCCTTACCTGGTCAGAGTAGCACACAGTATATGATATATATCAGGATACAGCCGTTGTGTATTTTATTATGTGAAGCACTAAATGGTTTTAGAAAAATATCGACTCTTTCTTTGTAGATATACTAAACTAAAGCATACAAATAAAGAGAGTAATGTAGGCCTGTTATACTGAGTGATATATATTATACACACTGCTCTGCTTTCTGCACGGACCTCACAGCTGTTCTCACTGTAAACATCGCGTTGCGATGAAAGCAGTTAATAAAATAATATCCAGGGGATGCATGCAGAGCTGTCATTGGCTGAGATCAGTCCGGCCGTGCGTCACGACTCTTTTAAACGTCACTGTTGCCGGCAATGCATCCGTGGAGGACCGTGGAGGAACCATCAGTGTATCCTCGGTTATAGCTCCTCCAGAGAGCCTCCTCGATGCTCGATCCTCGGTCCTCAAAGTGCATTTAGAGAAATTAGATGTCCTTCAACATGGCGCGCTGAAATTCATTTCCGGGTCACTACCGGAGGACCGAGGATTCGAGGAGTCGAGGAGGGGAAATTAGTGAAATGAGAAAGGGCCCCGCCGGTGTATCACTCCACTCACGCATGCGCAGTGCGTACGTGCTACTTGGCCGTCGGCTGAAGTCTTTGCGGTGTGTTCCAGTGCGACGTGAGGCGACACAACAGTCGGGTCCATCGGGACGTGTTCTTTGGTGTCAGTTTGGTGTGTCTGGGCCTTTACAAAGCGTTAACTGCACGGTTTACTTACAACTCTAAACCTCAGGCCATAGCATGCATCATAGCTCTGATAAGCAACATGTATCTTGCGAAGGAGATTGGACATTTAATGGCTATTTTTTCTTGGAATTGTGATAAGCAAAGCAAAGCAAAAGTGTATGTGATCTTGGAGAGCTCCAGAGAAAATAATCTCATGCTAACACGAAGTTCTGAAATGCTAATGTGGGCACCAGTTTGCTAAAATGTTAAATACAACCACTTTATCAATATGTGACCAGCACTTTAAAAAAAATATATTGTTTCTTATTTATGCACACACAGCATAGAATATTAGTGTTGCACTGATTAACTCAAATGAACACTAGAATAGACATAGATCAGCGGGTGTGATGATTATTAAAAACTCTCTTACCCATAGTCTTATAGATCTTATCACTGGTTTCTGAAACAGCTGTGGCAATCACAGTTAAACGTTACAATAACGGCTCAGTGAACAGAAAGCTTGACTTCAAAAATATTCACAACATAAATTAACTTCACCCCAAAGACATATCAAGTATGATACAGATAGAAAAATATATACATTTTGTTAAACCACTAACAGTATATGATTATCAGACCAATTCTGTTTTATAAATAATAATGATGTATCTCAGCTCGTACATGGTCACATAGTAATAATAAAGAATAGTAGCAAACGTTACCCAACACATTCGCACTGCGACACCAGTGAGGCACACACAAGGACTCTGGAACTATCACAATGCATTTTTAATGTTAAAATGTGCATTTCCTTTTAAAATACCTGCATTGTTGTGCCGTCTCGACAGACCAGAGTGAGAGGAGAGGCTGTGAGCCAATGACTGCATCATTTAGAGCTGCGTCACACAGACACAGGCTGTGGTGCTGACATCCTCGTCCTCTCTTCAAAGTTACTCATGCCTCATAAACAGCAGAGTCTGATGTGCACGCTTGGGGAGTAACAGATTACATGTACAGTAATGGGATTACGTAATCAGGGTACAAAAACATGTAATACAGTTACATTACAGATTACTGTCACATGTCTACAAATTGGGGGTCACTAGCAGGATTACAGTGCAGTGTTTCCCCTAGGTTTACTGCTTTGGGGGGTGCTGCCTGAGCGGGGGGGGGGGGGGGGATCCTCTGGAGCAGAGAGAGGAGCTGTGGATTCTAGTTATTGATTAGTGCATCAGTGTTTCTTAGGGTCAAAAACACTAAACTCACAATTTAAAATGAAAGCGTTTAGTTTATTTAATAAAAGAGCACATGTTCAATGTGAAAAGTGACAGTATATATAGATTGGTTGCAATTTGGTGCTATATAAATATATATATATAAAAAAAAAAATGTATTTTTAAACACCTTGAATTTCAGGGGGGGCGCAGGGCTCCGTTGGCGGGGCGCAGCGCCCCTCCAAGACAATGGTAGGGGAAACACTGCAGTGTTACTAAAAACTAAAAGAGATATAGTGTTTGTTGTAAAGGATCAGATGTTATCTCTTCTCTTAGAGCTGTACTGTTCTGTAGGATAATACTTTGAGTGTGAATCTATACGCCTACTGCCCGAATCTGCTTTATGGTTTTCACTTTCTTTGGTTCATTTGTTCCTTTTTATTTCAGCAGGTGAACCTATATGTTCATAAAATAGTGTTTTACAGGTAACTATTCATTGTAACAGATTACATTTTTAAAGTAAACCTCCCAACCCTGCTTATTTGGCATTTTTCACAGTATGTGTCTTTGATGAAAAAGACTGTTTTTGATGAAAGATAATCTCTTATAGAACCAGCCGTGACTTATTGAATAGAGTGATTACTTATACTGTAGTAAAGTAGTTCATAAACCCTTGAATTAACTTGAGAGAGAAAGAAAAGATACACAATAAAAAAGACTATGTGATATGACTCGCCTTAAACAGTTCTATGTGGATCATATTTGTCTGATAACATTACAGCATATGTTTCTCCAATGACGGGTTACCTCCATTTAATCTAGTACATTTCAACTGGATTAGTGTGCAGAGGGGAGGGTACATGCTGTTTGATGAAGACGTGTTGGACAGCAGAGAGCTTTTTGGAAAGCTCTCCTTCAGTTTAAAGCCGCTGTCTGCTCCGTCAGACTGTGGTGGGATAAGTAGGTCACACTGTCCAAGAGAGAAAAGAAAACAAGTACGGGCCGAGGAAGAGAAGGAGGGGATGGTGGATGGATGGATGGATGGATGATGGAGGATGGATGGATGGATGATGGATGGATGGATGGAGGATGGATGGATGGATGGATGGATGGATGGATGGATGGATGATGGATGGATGGATGGATGGATGGATGGATGGATGGATGGATGGATGGATGGATGATGGAGGATGGATGGATGATGATGGATGGATGGATGGATGGATGATGGAGGATGGATGGATGGATGGATGGATGATGGATGGATGGATGGATGGATGGATGGATGGAGGATGGATGATGGATGGATGGATGATGGATGGATGGATGGATGGATGGATGGATAGATGGATGGTGGATGGATGGATGGTTTGATGGATTGATGGATGACGATTAATGGATGGATGGATGGCTGGATGAAGGATGATGGATGGATGGATGGATGATGGATGGATGGATGGATGATAGATGGATGGGTGGATGGATGATGGATGATGGATGATAGATGGATGGTTGGATGGATGGATGGATGGTGGATGATGGATGGATGGAGGATGACGGATGGATGGATGGATGATGGATGGTAGATGGATGGTTGATGGATGGATGATGGATGATGGTTGATGGATGGATGGATGATGGTTGATGGATGGATGATGGATGGATGGTGGATAATGGATGGATGATAGATGGATGGATGATGATGGATGATAGATGGATGGGTGGATGGATGGACACTGACATTAACAAAATGTAATATGCCAACAAATTAACTGCATTAGGTTAGTTGAAAGCAATAATATTAAGTTGAACCTATTTAAACCTAATAGTTTTGCTTTCAACTACTAACCTAATACAGTTATGTGAACATTTGTTGACATAATACATTTAATTAAAGTCAACGTTTCTGTGCAAATAATGATTAGTGATTTCAACCCTGCTGATCTCACATACTGCCAATTGATTGGTTGGTTGTGTTCCCATCACTGCATGCCCCAGTTGCCCAAATATGGTCATATCCTTTCCTTAACCAGACATCATAACTCTTCTGGTTTCCTGCAGGCTGTGTTGGTGTGTTGGTGTGTGTGTGTGTGTGTGTGTGTGTGTGTGTGTGTGTGTGTGTGTGTGTGTGTGTGTGAGGTTGTCTGCAAGCTGTGATTGAGTCATGCTTTGTCAGATTTGGATCCTTTGAGGATATTTTCTTTCCATTTTGAACACATTTGTTGCTATTTTGATTTAAAAAGCATGAGTTATTTCAACTGCTGTGCTGCTTTAAAAAAAACACGATAACAGGACACACACACACATCTTCTCAGCCAGACTCAACTTTTCTGTTCTTGTCTCCTCTCTTCCACCTCTTCCCTTCGTCTCCTCCCTTTGTCCCTGTTTCCTCACCTCTCCTCAGTGTGCTGCATCACTGGTGGAGCCACGTGCTCTCTGTTTATCATCAGCGAGGGGAGGGAGATAGAGAGATAGAGGGAGGCAAACTCTCCCCCTCTCTCTCATTTGGCTTAGTGCACCCACAGACACACACACACACACACTCAGAGACTCAGTACATTATTCCATCGTGAGCAGCCTGAGGGACGCAGGAAACAGCCGACTGTATCCACTGGACCTGAACTACACCACAGGTACTGCAGCTTTATCTGTCTCCAGCATGATTCACAAGCACTTTTTGTTTGTGTGTGTGTTTTGTACCCAATTCAAGGCTATTAAGTGATGTGCTAAATATAAAACTGACTAGTAAACAGAATTAATCTTCTTAAGCTGAAGCTGATGTTGTGTTTAAGGACAACAGGAGGGTGATGTTAAAATGAGGACAAGAGTTGCTGCTGCTGATCGAGGCTTTATACACACACTTCCAAACACACACATATACACACACACACACACACACACACACACACACACACACACACACACACACACACACACACACACACACACACACACACACACACACACACACACACACACACACACACACACACACACACACACACACACACACACACACACTGTCACCAGCCTCTGCATTGGTGTGATGTGGACAGGTGGATTTTATTGCCCCTGGCAGGAAATTAAATGTGCCATTGAGAACAGCCCAACTAAATACATGAGTATGTGTTGGAGCTGAAAGACAAGTGGAATTACAACGTTGCATTGATGTGTTTGAAGATGCTGCTTTAAGAAAAAAACGGTTGCACTTTGAACAAACACCATTGCCCTAAATCTAAAGGAGCCCTAAAGAAAATAATGTGTGATTATCTGCAGACCGTGTGCAGTGAACGATGAGCCTGCAGTAGGTTAAAGTCATAAAAGTTGATTGAGTTTGGTTCGGGCTTTTGTTAGCCGTGCCACAAATCTGCCTGCTGTTTCTGAACGCTACTGGCAACAGCTGAAAGACTAATGCATGATGGCATAAAGGTAAAAATAGTCGGACATTCTTTCTAAAAGTAAAGATAGTTATGCACTTAAATATGTTCAAAAGCCTGCATTCTACCTGGAATACCTCTGTTACAAGTTACAGTTGTGCTTTTAAAATCGTACTTAAGTGAAAGTACAAAAGTAAAAGTATCAAAAATAAAAGTAGTCGTTATGGCCTAATTTAGAATCATATAAATGAAATGACTGGATTATGATCAGACCCAGCGCCGTGGGAGGGCCAGGCCCTCCCATTTGACATTCCTGCCCTCCCCCAATAAACACGTTTTTTATTATTTATAAAAATAAAAAAAATTAAAAAGATATTTTTTTTAAATGATAAATAAACTGTGAACTTTAATGCTACGATGTATGTAAAAACAGGTATGAAATACTACATGACAGTAAAACATTTCATATGGGTGTTGAGAGATGTATCCATAGATCTCTTCATTTTGCCCTCAAAGTGCACCATGCTTTTAACTTCAATATTAAAAATAAATCTTCCCGGGGGAGCTTGCCCCCGGACCCCCCTATGTGAGGTCCACACACCACTTGTAAAAATAGCACTTTGCCCCTGCTTACACCTATATGCCGTGAGCTGATTATCGAGCCTTCATTGTAACAGTCGCGGGTGTACTGTGTATGTGCGTGGGGAGTGTTGCAGTAGAAAATTCAACTGTAGCGCCCGGTACCTTCATGGGAAACCCTACATGTTTGAGCACCCTCTATGAAACGTCAAGCTACCCCACAGCACCCCCAAAAGACAATCTTGGGCCGCGGCATATGACGGTTTTGTGTGCCCTCCCATGAAAATCATATGCCCTCTCTCTGTAGATTTGTTCTGGCGCTGGGTCTGATTATGATTATTGATGCATTAATGTTAATCATTCTGTATGAGCTAATAATCTGTAGCTTTAAAGTAAGTAACGCTGACGAATGAAAGTAAAAAGTAAATCTTTGGGTATGAAGTAGCATAAAAATTAAAGTACTCAAGTAGAATATGAGTAACTCAACACTGAAAAAACTGAAAGGATTACTTAAATGAAAGGTGTCAACAGATTTAAATATATAACAGTATCAGGTTAATTGAAATGCAATAATATTAAGTTGAACCTAATATTTTGTATTCAAACTTAATATTATCACTTTCAACTAACCTAATACAGTTGTGTGAAATCTGTTGACATAATACATTTAATTAAAGTCAACATTACAGTTTTCTTCAGTGAATATTGATTCTTTAGTAAATGTATTTAGTTACATTCTGCCTCTGATTTGAAATATGACCTCACAATTATTGTATTTATTTTAAAGGTTGTTGTTTGGCTCGGACTACAACCAGCTCTTTTTGGAATAGCGATACTGTCAATGCATCTTTAGTTTGGTCCTCTTCCATAAATTCTCTGAAGGAACCAGCACTCCTGATTGTTTCCTTACAGGAAGTGTTTTCACCTTCTTTTTAAAACTATAAAACATATTGCCTTTGTTTCCACTTCAGATCAAACAGCCAGAGAGCGAGCCTGTCTTCCCATTGGGAGCGGCTCTGATTCTCAGTCAGAGTTTATAAATAGATTTACAAAGAGCAATACTCGTTTTATTTCAACATGATTCATCACTGCTGCAGCAAGCCCATATTTAGAACTGTGATTTTGTTTTAGACAGCAATGGTTAACTATTTACTAGAATCTTTCATGAGTATGAGTGTGGAAGAAACTAGAATTACAGCGCTTCAGATGTACCTGCATCCTCACATCAGTTGATTATAATCAGCGGGTCACATCAGGAGCAGCGAGGTTAGTCTGGTTATTAACCATAACTGGACCTATGGAGGAGATAACTAGCTTGACCCGCTTCCTTTCTGTAGGGCAGGGTAAACACAGCAGGTGACTCAGCAGCTGTTAGAATGACATGACGAAATGAACATTAGCTCTCACTTTCAGAGTGGAATATAAGCTTAACACCTGTTTTTTCTTAAAGGTAAAAATAGATTTGTCACTAACAGTTGATAGCCAATAGTATTCAGGCTTGTTGAAAAGAAGATACATATGTTATTTGGATATTTCTGTTTCAGTTTGTATTGGGTATAGTAGCTGAAGAGGTGAAAGAAAGAGTTCCACAAAGTCAAAATACTCTGTTACAAGTGAAATTCCTGCATCGAAAATGTTACTTGAGTAAAAGTATGTCAGAATAATTATCAAAGAAAAAGTTGAAAAAGAGTTGATCCAATATCTCATTATGAAAAATCTAAAATGTTTCTGAAAATAACACCCAACAATCTCAAAACCATTTCAAACAAATTAGAAAATGACCTAAATGTTCATAAATGACAATTAAATTATATCAAACTCTAACTTCTGGCTAGTTAAAGTCATAACAAAACATAATTAAAATGTTCTTTAGATGAAAACGACCCTAATGTTTTTAATCGTTCATACAGCTGCTTGAGAGTTATTGATTCCGAGGTTTCTGTGATTCTGGCTGTTTCTTCTTCTCTCTGTTTTGAACAACACTTCTTGCTCATTGGAGTCCCCAAACCCTCCCTGCATACCGCCCCCGCCCCACCCCCACCCCTCCTCCCCCCACCCACCCACTGGCATTTTCAACAATAGAGTTTGGCAGTGCTTGGAGCCAGTGGAGAAGCAGTGTTGCTGTTACTGTGTTTTGCATGCTGATGTGTTTCCTCTGTTGTTTCTGTGAGAGCTGTCCTTTAATTAGCTTCTTTATGTCTGTTCGGAAACGGGACTGCGTTGTTATTTATGTAAATTACTGTGTGGTTGCACTCCTTTCTGTCTACCGGAGTAGTAACAGTTATACAGTCTTCTTCTATTCATTGTTAAACTTGTCTTTTATGGCCATTTCCACAGGACTCTATTAATCCCTGTTTCCTATATTGATACCTGCTTTCTGCTCTGTGGAGTTTTATGCATGTGGTCTCATCTATAATTCTGTGGATCTTATAACTGCCTTTGCACCTGCAATGCACCAGCAACAGTACAGTAGATCTTGTCTCTTGTATTTTTATACCCGCTGCTAGATGGGGCCTGGATTGTTTTGGAACTTCCCTCCCAAGGCTGGCTGCACGGTTCCACAGAGCCTCCTGCAGACCATGTACGTAGGATGGTGAAGTCACTGTGCCGACATAAATACCGCACCATACCGTGCCGCACATTCCCGTCCATCCGCTCCATTCTGTCAACCGTCAGTCCAGTGTCACATATTCATTCTGCAGCAGTGGGAAACACATACAATAATTCATTATCCAATTACAAACATGCACCAGGACAAGTATTCATCTGTCATACGAAAAGTATTTTTTTAGCAATCATCTAGGCTTGGATTTAGAATTAGGGAATTAGGCTTGGAGAAAACATTAAAATAATAATTCCCACATTCGGTGCCAGCATATTACAGGTGAACATTCTGTCAGCAGAATTCCAGCACGAGTGGTTTGCCTTTCAAATGTTATCTATAAACACTAGGGGTGTAACGGTATTCGTCCCGAACCGTCACGGTTTGGACGTCACGGTTTGTACGTCACGGTTTGTACGTCACGGTTTGTACGTCACGGTTTGGACGTCACGGTTCGGACGTCACGGTTCGGACGTCACGGTTCGGCACATGCAGTCACACGACGAATATGCCTTTTTTTATGAGAGGGAAAAAAGTCTGTCACTCAGGGCAGTATCCATTACACTATATATAATCCAGGGGGCGATATTGCGCCTAAAAGCTGTTTGCCAGCCGCCCTTAAACAACAAATGAAGAACAAGAAGAAAACACCACAAAACTAACAAAATACAAGAAGAAGAAAAGTTAGTATGGCGGTTCAGATAACACACAGGAGCAGGGCTGCTTCTCAGGTCGATTAAATGGAATCCTTGCGTCCCTCACTTGCGTTGTTTCCCTGCGTTTAGTCCCTCCCACCAGGGAAGCATGGAGAGACGCAAGGAAACCACGAGAAGCAGGGAAATGAGTTTTAAGAGCAATGGGACGTCCTTTCCTCCGGAGCGTCACGTGAAGCGACATCCGTTTGTGATGACACCGCACAGCTGATGTCTGACAGCAGCTCTGTCCCCGTTGTTTTCACACACACCCCCGCCTCTGTTAGTACACATTTACTGACATATACATTTGTATAATCTGTTGTAGACCCAAATAAATAAAATAAAATAAGAACTCATTCTCAAAAAATGTCATCGGAGGA